AAAAGCTTCGAAAACCTCTCACCAAACACTCGATGTGTCCTCAATTCCGTGTATCAACTAATATACACAACGGTTCTTCGAATCCTTCGAATCGCTTTTATCGACTGATTATCCTGAACCTAACCTCCCAAATCGATCGTACAATCACCTTGAACGTGATCACCAACCGAATTCAAGAAGGCAACAATGGCCTCTCTATGTACCCCGTACTCTCTTCCCCCGTTTGTTCAGAGAGACAGTCGAAGATAAAATCGATAAAATTTCCAGCGGGAAAGGGAGGCAGGAGAGCGGATTGTCTGTTGGCGCAACAACAGCGAGCGCACTTAGGTACAATAAGTTCGCGGCACCTTGCGAATCGGAAGTGAGCTTATTATTAGGCCACACTCTACGAATAGCCTGTACCTTGAACAGACGAAATAATGCCGCTTATAAATCGCAGAGACTTTGTTCGACGAGATCGATCGAGACTTTTTATCGAGAGACACATTTTTCGAGAGTGATAAATTTTGAAGAAAAATTTAAACGATTTTAGATTTTGTATTGTTGCTTCCTATGATGAATTTGAGAAAATTATTTTTTTTGAAAGAAAGAAAAAGGGAGAAAAAAAGAGAAGATTTTCGAAGAAGTTTGACGATGCAAGTCGAATGGCAACAATCGAAAGCATAGTCTCTCTCGAGAATTTTTGGGCGGAAGATCAGCCAAATACCGAGGTATTCGTGGCATACGTCAAAATCAAACGATTTCTATTTATACGTTTTACAACAGTATGCAGCGGCGACGGGTTCGATCGGACACCTGTTTCCATTCAAACAAACTGGGTTCTCCGATTATTATTTCAATCCATTGCATCGCTCTACGAGCTTTACATAAGCGTACCGATTACGTATTCGATCGGTGTGTTGCACTCGATCGATTATTCTCGAGAGCTTCCAAAACGATTCTTACGAATCGTCGCCATTTCTCGTTGCAATTTTTTATTTTTTTATTTTTTTTTTGGCTTCGATTTTATTTTCAGCGATCTCCGCATTTTTTATATTTTATGGAAATTCGTTAGGTAACTTGTCGATTATTTTTATGGATTTATGAGATAAAGATTAAATTTTCTTTCTTTTAATTTTTTATCGATCGAG